AGCGGTACGGTTCTCGGCTGGCCCGCCTCCCCCCCCATTTCGGGGCAGTCTTCTCTGCAGCTTTATTGTGTTTCCCATGCAGGAGAGTGTGGGCTGCTGCTGGCAGCTACAGGATGAAGTCGCCTCCCTGCTGCATGTCGCTTTCTTCCCAAGCATCCCTGGAGGAACGAGGGAGTAGCACATCCCTGGGCTCCCTGGACTCCAGTGTTTTCTCCAGCGAAGAAGAGCAGGGGCCCCTGCTCCAGAAGGTCGTTCCCTCCTTGGACTGGTTCACGATCAACGTAGGAGGCAGCCGCTTCGTGATGTCCCAGCAAACTTTGTCTTGCTACCCTGACACCCGTCTTGGCAAACTGGCCGTAGTGGTCTCTGCTGCCCGGGATGTGGCCTCTGGCCTCCTTGAGCTTTGCGATGATGCCAACCTGGTGGAGAATGAGTATTTCTTTGACCGGAGCTCGCAGGCTTTTCACTACATCCTGAATTACTACCAGACAGGGAGGCTGCATGTGATGGAGCAGCTTTGTGCACTCTCCTTCCTGCAGGAGATGCAGTGCTGGGGTTTGGCAGGAAGACGTGGCGTGCAGGATTGTGGGCTGGGTGAGCTCGGCATTGACCTGCGTGTGGGGACGCTTAGATGAGAGGTCCAGCAGTGGGGGCAGGTGAGGTAGCAGAACATTGGGAAAAGCATGCTCAAAGCTGGATGAGTTCAGCCCTGAATCCTACTCTAGAGTTGGATACGTGTAGGAAATGGGAGGCGTGTTGGGTGAGGTCACTGCTGACCTTTGCTGAGGGACAGGTTGGCAGTGGGGCCAGGACAGCGAGAGCCTAACAGGAGCAGAATCTGGGTTGTCCTGTACCAGCTTCAGACTGGCCCTAGAAGCTCAAAATGTTTGAAAGGGACAATGCCAGAGATGAAAAAGGTTGTGAAAGGAGAGGTGTCCTTTCAGTCACCCAGTTCAGGGTTATCCTAGTTAGCAGGATTGCATGTGGAGTGAGGCATGGTGCTGGGGGCAGTAGGAGCCTCCCCAGCCCACACTTTTCGTTCTGGAGGATTTCCAGGTCCGAGCTGGAGGAGCAGAAGTGGGGGGGTGGTCACCTGCCAGGCTGAGTCTGGGTGGCATGGCTCCAGGAGGAGCTGGGGTGGGAAGCATCGCAGGTGGAGGTAGCAGCTTACAGGGAGGGGGCAGCAGCAGTGGGAACATGGCTCACTGGAGACAAATTGTATCAGGCAGTTTAGGAACGAGGTGGGTTTCGACTGAACCGCCCCGAGGACGTTTCTGTTAATTCTGTTTGCAGTTAATTTTATTTTTTTGCCGCCATTTTTAGTGTCCCTGGTTTGTTTGTTAGTATTGAAGAAATGAATTATCTGAAGAGTGTAACTGCTACTCATCTAAAGCAAAATTATGAGAAAGAAACAAAGAAGCAATCCCACCCCAAAAGGGCACTAGAGTTATCCTACCCTAGGACAGTCCAGTTCTGCAGCTGAGAGAGATGGATTGTAGTTTTCATCCCTTTCTTCCTTCCCTGGTAGGTGTAACGGAAAGCTCCTACTTCTATGGTGGTGCAAGGAGCTACAGACCTCTTTGGCGTATGCAGGGGTCACTGTGTACCAAATGAAGGCAAAATTGTGTAGTCCCTTTAAGACTTCAGATTTGCAGCAGTCAAGAAATACAGATATGAAAGAAAACAAGATTTTTTGCGTACTTTAGGAATGTTTCTGGTTCATGAAACTGTTCTGTAAATAACTCTCGCTCTAACAAAACACTCAACTATGCATTTACAGTCTGTAAGGTTTACTTGGCACAGATGCTTGTGCACTTTGTTGTGTGAGGACCCATATGTTGAAAGAAAGTAACACAACTTGTCATCTTAGCACATATTGATCAGAACTTTGTCTATGAACCGCATGGCTTTTATTATGCCTTACCTTTTAGTATTGCAGATACACACCAATGTCATAAAAATGCAATATAATTAATGACATTGAGGACAATTTAGAAACAGAGAGTCTGGTTGTGCCAAGGACTGCTTACAAGAATGCATGATAGTTGTGCAGCAGATTCTACTGTAGTCAACACGATCCATATAAATACCATGCTATCAGAATAAAATTACTCTGCGCATACAAATTGTCACTGATGTGAAATGGGGGAATAGAAATATCAGGTCAATGCTGCAGGGTCTCAATTAATAAAATCGTCAACCATATGCTTGACATTGGGATTTTCTGAGCTCACGTAAGGTATACTTCAATGCCTCATGTGGTAGAGAATAAGAAAAACATGCGCATATAGGTATTAAAAATCTCTTTGGGGGGGTTTCTGGGCAGGTACTTCAGGAGGAAGGAGCTGAGCGAAGCCTTAGACATCAAGAAAGATGCAGAAGAACTGGATGCCCAAGATGAGGAAGAGGACTTTTCTGGCAGCCTCTGTCCCAGTGTCAGACAGAAACTTTGGGAAGTTCTGGAAAAGCCTGGCTCCTCTGCAGCAGCCAGGACTTTCGGCACTTTGTCCATGGCTTTTGTTGTTGTGTCCATTGCCAACATGGCTTTGATTTCGGTAGAGCTAAGCTGGCTGGCACCACCGCTCCTTGATGCCCTAGAGTACATGTGCATTGCATGGTTCACAGTGGAGTTTGTTCTGAGGTTCCTGTGTGCACGGGATCGGTGTCACTTCCTAAGGAGCGTGGCAAACATCATAGACCTCCTCGCTATTTTACCTTTCTACATCACGCTGCTGGTGGAGAGCCTGTGTGGTGGGGAGAGCTCCCAAGAACTGGAGAACGTGGGGCGCATTGTCCAAGTGCTGAGACTGCTCAGAGCCCTGCGGATGCTGAAGCTGGGAAGACATTCAACAGGTACTTTGAGCCGTGGCAGTGGTGCTTCTCATTTTTGCTGCCTACAACAGTTGTTCCTGGCCACAGTCCCCCATTTTGTGTCCAT